AAACATAGTCATTACCAAGAAATGATGCTTTCCATTTCTACACCAAATAAAGACTCTGTAAAACGGCGTGCTGCACTTCAGTAAGTCAGTCAACAACTACCTGAAAACCTAGCATGTATCACACAGTATGACACTATGCTGGTTCCTGCACTAAGGAGCTCATATTCCAGTGTAGAAGATGGAAACAATAATAATTACAAATTGTGCTAAACGTGATGAAGAAAACAAACAGGATGCTGAGACAGAGACTGGGGGGCTGGGGTATGGGAGTCCTACTTTAGATAAGGTGGTCAGAAAAGCTCTCTGAACGGCAAGTTTATGGTACAGGAACAGCATGTGTTCCTCACATGAAAAAGATCTCAGCATTTTTGAAGGATTAAAAGGAGAAAACCAGTATAGCCAAAATGTACTGAGTCAGAAAACAGAGTGGCCCAACTTGAAGGTGAAGAAATGTACAAGAGAAAGATTATGTAAACATTAAGGAGTATAGATAATATTCCCAGTGCGACAGGAAGCCATTGACAGGTTTTAAACAGCAGAATGACAGGATTTGATTTTAAGATCATTCTGGTTACTGTGTGGTGAATGGATTGGAGAACAAAAAGAATAAAGAGAGAATCAGGAGACAATTATAGGAAGGAAGATGGTGGCTTGATTTAGATTAGAGGCAGCAGAGATAGAATAAAAGCTGAAAGATGTGAAAGGTATTTTGGAATATAATTGACAGTAATACGTAAAGGCCTAGATGCTGGGGCTAACAGAGATTAAAGAATTTACGGTCCAGGAGGGGACATAAGAAAACAGATAAAAATAGTTCAAAGTAAGAGATGCTACTTTAAGCATCTGAGGAAAGATAAACTTTCTATAGGAATTCCAAATTCATAAAAAAAAAACAATGATCACGGATAACTCTACAGCCAGTATGAATCAAGTAGTTGCTGAAGGTCCTTATAAAACTACAAAGAGCAAATATGACAAATCCTTAAGAAACATTCAGCAACTGACTTGCAAAACTTGGGTCCCAGAGCAGTATTTATACTATCACTACTAAAGGAAGAAATTGAGTCATTACTGTTAGTCTAACAGAAGTAGTTTAACACTTCTTAATTTTTTAGTTATAACAATAATGCATGCTCCTTGTAAGAAATTTTAAAATACAGGTGTAAAAAGTAAACAAGTATCCTCATATACTGCTGGTAGGAATATAAATTGGTACAGCCTCCTTGGAAACAGCCTGGCAGTTCCTCAAATGATTAAACACAGAGTTACCACCTAACCGGCAAATCTACTCCTAGGTATCTACCCAAGAGAGACAAACATATATATCCACACAAAAACTTGTACATACATGTTTATAAAAGCACTATTCAAAACAGTCAAAAGGTGGAAACACCAAATGTCCAATGACAAATGAATGGATAAACAAAATGTGGTATATCCAAAAAGAGAATATTATTCAGCCATTAAAAGGAATGAAGTACTGATATTTGCTCCAATATGGATGAACCTTGAAGACACTATGCTAAGTAAAAGAAGCCAGTCACAAAAGACCACATTTTATATGATTCCATTTATATGAAATGTCCAGAACAGGGAAATCTACAGAGATAGAAAGTGGAATGGTGGTTGCTTAGGGCTGGGGGGGATGGAAGGTAATGGGGGGTGGATAGTTAAAGGGTATGGAGTTTCTTTATGAAGTGACAAAATGTTCAGAAATTGACTGCAATGATGGTTGCACAACACTGTGACTATACTGAGCTACTGAATTATATACTTTAAATGGATCAAATATATAGTATATGAATTATATCTCAACATATTTTTTTTTTAAAGTTAAGTAAGTAAGTAGAAGTTCCCTTCTTACTTTTTGTTGCCCTTCACTTCACCTACACTTAAGTACAACCACTGTTAACTATTTTATAATTCTGTCCAGGACACTTTTTTATGCACATACAAAGACACACATAATCTACCCCCCCCCAAAAAAAAAATGAGAGGGGAGGGTCATACTATATTCATTGTTCTGCAAATTTTTTCTTCAATTAATGCATCAAATCCTTCCTGTGTCAGTACATACTTTCAGATGGCAATTCAGTATTCCATTATATTCCAATATACCATAACAACCATTCACCAATTGCTGAGACACTTAGGTTATTTCCATTTTTCTATTACAATCAAAAAAGCCACAGTAACCATCTTTGCCCATATCTCTGCATGAGTCACTATTTCTGCAGCCTTGATTCTCAAAAATAAATTTACTAGGGGCCAGCCTGGTTGCATAGTGGTTAGGTTAGGGCACTCCACTTCAGCAGCCCAGGGTTCGCAGGTTCAGATCCCAGATGCGGACCTACGCACCGCTCATCAAGCCATGCTGTAGTGCCATCCCATATACAAAATAGAGGAAGACTGGCACAGATGTCAGCTCAGGTACAATCTTCCTCACCAAAAAAATTTTAAAAATAAAAATAAATAAATTTACTATATATGTATATATATACACACACAAATACATGCACGCATGCGTACGCACATACGGTTACTTATTTTTTTCTGAACCATTAAAAGAGGGTTGTATATGCCATGCCTCTTTACCCCTTACTACTTCAGTATATACTTCCTAAGAACAAAAATAACCTCTTAGGGCCGGCCCCGTGGCTTAGTGGTTAAGTGCGCATGCTCTGCTGCTAGCGGCCCGGGTTCGGATCCTGGGCGCGCACCAATGCACCGCTTCTCCGGCCGTGCTGAGGCGGCGTCCCACATACAGCAACTAGAAGGATGTGCAGCTATAACAGACAACTATCTACTGGGGCTTTGGGGGAAAAAATAAATAAATAAAATCTTTAAAAATAAATAAATAAATAACCTCTTAAATAATCACAGCACTAGTTTACAAATTCAGGAAATTTAACGTTGATATAGTATTTTAATCTACCTTCTATATTCCAATTTGGTCAACTGACCTAGCTATATCCTTTACAGTGATTTTTTCCCTCCATAAAGGATCCAGTCTAGGATCACATATTGGATCTAGCTGTTGTACCTCTTTAGTCTCTTTCAATCTGGGACCCATATTATATTAAATCAAATGATATGTTTCCTGGCTTAAAAATTAATTTAATAATCTCACATCTTTCCCTCTAAACCTAGACTATGTTTCTTCAGATAAGAATGTAACAATTCTTCATTCTGTTTTGCAAACAGAATCTAAGTCTTAGATGCCTTATCTAAAGTTAATAATAAAGTTAAAAATCAATAAACATTTACATTATTATGACAATCTAAAAATTAAACACTGCAGAGCCAAGTAATACGCCGGCATTACATTTCCTTCTCTAAAGGTCTAATATGTGACCCACTGGGCCAAATGAAGGATAAGATTCTTATTCCAAGTATTACAGTCAAATGATTTCTCTTTTCTTAATATATGTATGAAAATTTGACAGCTGGGATCTGCAGGCTTCTCTGGCCTCCATCATCAGTACCACTCCATGGATGTGACTTCTGAGAAATCTTTACAAAAGTAAAATATAATTTAATCTTCCTACTGAATATGGTACCTCATCTTTCAGGCATCTGTTAAGGAGAAATTACTCAATTCTTTACTCAATAACTAAAACTTACACTTGCAAACAATAACTCAACCAAGCAAGATGCAGAGCAAGTTGGACTACAAGGACACAGACTGTATATATAATATAAATCCTTCACTATATACAGAAGGAAAAAAACCCTGAATCAACAAGATTATGATAACTAACCTCTATTAGAACCACAGAATCTATTCTCCCTTATTCTTACCAAAAAGAACAAAAACAAAAATCCTAATTAAAACGAAATTATACTGAGAAGACACTGGTATCCCAGGATTCAGGGAATGTTTGTGTGAACTGAAAATTCAAATATGAGGATAGTTCTTGCCTTCAAGGTGTTCACAATCCTGTGGGGGCAACAAACAAATGACTAATAAGGCAGAGTGTGATTAGCAATGTAGAAATATTATTCCATGAGGATGCAAAACACAGAGAAATGGATTCTGATCTCAGCACTCAAGGAAGGCTTTTTGGAACACTCAGGCTTTTAATGGTTGATTGAACCAACCAGATTCTGAGCTACTAAGACAAAGGGGGAATAGGAGTAGCACAAGCAAAGAATGAGACAAAAAAAAGCACAGTGGAGAGTATTTGAGGGATAGTAAGTAGGCCACAGCAAAAGGTGCTCTAAGTGTATGGGAAAAACAGGTGACTAGTTGCAGGAGATGTGTTTAAAGCCCACTTGTGGAAAGCCTAAAAAGCCATGCTAAGGAGAGCTTGATCCTTATTCTGAAGGCAATGTCAAGCTACAGGTTTTGGACCAAGGGAATGATTTGGATCTAGAAACTTAAAAACAACAAGTTCTCTTTTCAATAAAATTAGATTGTAATTTCCTAAATTAAAAAGATGGCAGAAACATGAGGCAATAATAAAGACTTAGGTAGAAACAGATAAACACAGGTCTATGAAAAGAAGGACAGGGCAGGGATTAATATCCACACTAAGGAAAGGACTAACAAATTTTTTAGAACTTGTTTTCTAGTTAAACAGCTAGTAATGAGGCTTTGATTTTCAGATAGATATATAATAATTCAAGAAAACTCTAAACAAGAATAAAGCTTCAATTTAAAAGAACTCCACATTGCTAAGGGCTGTCCATTTTAAACAAAAAATTATGGCGACAACTCATTTTTAATCTCAACTTAAACACAAGTTTCCAGGCACAGTATATTATATTATGGCACAATTATGTATGGAAAAAGTAACCTGGCTTGAGTCCCAGTGAAAAAAAACACCATATTTAGAGATTTAACATTAAAGTTAACATACAAGAGCTCATCTAAATAATTATGTACACAAACAGACCCTAAAAATTAATCTTTAATTTAAATTAAATTGAAAGTAAATTAGTTTTCGTTGCCTCAAAACAGTACAGAGAGAGTTGTAGGGGGAAAAAAACAAACTTACCAAATGAAGTTTGTCCCAAGAACTTTTTCTACTAGAAGGTTTCACAAGAACATCTGCAAAAGAAAAACCAGTAGTTTTACAATGACAAATATCCTAAGAATCAAGTTAAGCCACTTCGATCTCCCCACAAGACTCTTCTCAAGAAGACAGAATGCCATGACAATACATTATTTTTTAAATTGTTACATTATGGACTATTTAGTCAACCACAGATTTTAGAATGTTTAATTGCACAAAATGTGCCCAGTGAGGCCTCAGCACATCTTTGGAAATTGCAAAACTATACAGACAGAACTTTCCAGGAACCTACAGATACTCCTATTTTAGGGTTTTTCTCAATCAATCAAGCATCATTTCTGATGGCTTCTCAGGTAAACCTTTGCCACTACAGGAACAAGTACTTTAAAAAACTAAAAATATCATAGGAGATCTAGGCTTAGACTTGGTAGTTTAAAGTGTTTTATAAACATAACTGGCGTCTACCAAGGGATCTTTTATGTGTAGGGGAAAAAAAAACCAGGGCACAGTGGGGAGGTGGGGAGGAGGGACTACAGTCTAAACACAAAGAATTCTTGTCACAACTAGGTAACAATCTGACGTTTACAGAGATAAAAGACCTAACAGACCTGATTCCTTTGTAAGGATTTCTCTCAGTATTTGCAAACAACTCATCCTTCTAGACTGACTGTTTACAAGACATGAAGTCACATACATGAACAAGACTGTAAAAAATATCAAAATCCTAAAATTAAGGAGTCAGTCAACATAGCACATTATTCATCTAACCTCCAGAAACATTTTTTTAACTGAATAAGAACCATAAAAGGGAGGCTAAACACTCAATAATAAAGTGTTTTAACCATTTTACAAGTAGCATTTTTGTCTCCCAGTAACTTTTAATTTAAATTTTGTAACTCAGGCCATATTAACCACACACTATATGGGAAGGGAAATAAAGCTATTCATAATTTGCAATTTCAGATACAAACCATATTAAGTATCAAGATTGGTCTTGTTAAAGCTGTTTCAAAAGGTACAAACAGCACAGCAAGAAAGTTGAGAAGGCTGTAAATATGTAATATACCTTTTCTTGCTAGAGTATAATTTTTGCTGAGTATCTGAATACTCAAATACATATTATAATTTTTTTCCTTTATACTATAATAAAGTTATTAATGGATTTTTTTAAATTATGTCTGTAGGTACATTATATTATCTATGAATTTTACTTTAGGATGATAAAGAAACATTTGTTAAAAACAACAGATGCTGAGTCTCTTTGTCCTTATCTGTTACACAAACAAAAAAAAGAACCAGATGAAATAGTATATGTGAAGGAACATTCCACTTAAAAAGTATTACACGTAAAAATGATGAGACAGCTCACTGTAACTCAAGAAGTGTCAGAGTATGTACTACAAGGTTAACTGTCCAATGACATGCATGTGCTCAGAATTCAGAGGAGGGACAGCCCAGGGAAGCTTCACGGGAGATCTAGAATTTCAAACAGTTCTTTTTTTTTTTTTTAATAATTTTATTTATTTTTCCTCCAAAGCCCCAATAGATAGCTGTATGTCATAGTTGCACATCCTTCTAGTTGCTGTATGTGGGACGCGGCCTCAGCATGGCCGGAGAAGTGGTACGTCGGTGTGCACCCGGGATCCGAACCCGGGCCGCCAGCAGCGGAGCACGCGCACTTAACCGCTAAGCCACGGGGCCGGCCCTCAAACAGGTTCTTAAAGATTGGGTGGGATTTAAATAAAGAGAAAGAGGAACGAGAGTAATTCAAGAGAGGATGGCTGTTGATACCAAAGTACGAAGAAAGCAAGACATTTCTGAGAAATAGAGAATAGGTCAGAATATCAAGAGAGTGTTCAAGAAGATAAGACTAGAAAGGCAGGACACAACCAAAAGCTTTATGAGCAGGGGAATAATAACACGAAAGTGGTGGTACTCAACAGTAGAAAGCAGCAAGTAGGATGGTTTGGAGGGGAAAAGTCACTTAGGATGTTCTTGGACTAGTAGTTCAGATATGAATTGCTAAGGGCCCCATATCTCAACGATAGTGAAAATGCAGAGGAAGACACCAAAGTGACCAAAGTGTGTGAAAGCATTAATCGCCTGAGCCTGGTAATTGATTAGGAATGGGAAAAAAGAAGCAGAGCAAGTTGTGAAAGATAACTGCAAAATTATAAGGCCTGTGGTGTAGAAAAAGGATGATATTGTTAAAAAATGAAAGGTAGCTTCCAAGGAAGCAACACCAGCTACGATATGCTGGCCTTAAATGTGGCCTCCCAAGTAGATGATGTACGCCCAGCAAATAACTGGGGGGGGGCAGGGGGAGGGATGGAATTAAATCCAAGAGACAGGTCAAGTCTAGGGGTAAGAATGAATTGATGGCGCTAGATTCAATTCAAGGAAATCACTAAATATAATATAAGAATAATCTAACATGTTTTAGAAATTTGATAATTTATTCTGTCAAAGATATGAGAAGTCCATTAATACAGAAGTGTTTGTGTAAAGTTTTCACAGGTGTAAAGTTCCAAGAGATGTACCAAACAACAGGCAGATTCAACAAAAAGGTTCAGGCAGGTCTGCTTCAATGCTGGCCAAGACTCTTCTTCCCAAAAAACACAAACATCTACTTGGTAGGCAACACGTATGTCACTGTGAAACACTGCCAACAAAATTAAAAGAATGCCCATGCCTCTTAGGACCATCTGCCAAATAAAGATGATGTAGAGGTGAGTCTGAAAGAAGCTCTCTGGTGCCACAAGCTACCTTCCCATGATACCAGCAGGTATGCCATGATACCAGTCATGCATACCTCAGACAGTAAAAGCAGTTAAGTTTGGGTGACTTTGAACATTCATATATTTGAAGAGGTAGACTGTAAAGTGGTTATGTTAAATCTAAGCAATTATTTAAAGTATCTAATTACAAGGGATTCTTAAATACATTAAGCACTAATGGACAGCCAGCCAGGGCAGTGGGGTGGGGCAGGGGTTAACTATGGTCACCCGAAGTTCCATCTCCAAGGGGAGTGTAAAAAAAAAAAAAAAAAAAGAATCTTTCTGAAGTTACCTGAAATAAGAGGTAATGTTTTTACAATCACATATTATACTTCAGATAGGAATTTATCTATTATAAGAGAAAACTCTAAAAAGAGTAAAAATCAATATACTTAAATATTAAATACTATAATATTGGATATCACTGTGCAGCTGCATTGGAGAGAGAAACCTAACACAACACAAAGTCCCTTTCTGGAAGATAATGAGGTGATGACCAAAACGAAGGGCATGGAGGCCATGAGAAAGCCGATAAGAAATGGACACCTCGGGGCCAGCCTGGTGGTGCAGCGGTTAAGCGTGCACGCTCCACTTTGGCGGCCCAGGGGTTTGCAGGTTTGGATCCCAGGCCCGCACCTCTTGTCAAGCCATGCTGTGGCGGCGTCCCACGTAAAGTAGCGGAAGATGGGCGCAGATCTTAGCCCAGGGCCAATCTTCCTCAGCAAAAAGAGGAGGATTGGCATCGGATGTTAGCTCAGGGTTAATCTTCCTCACCAAAAAAAAAAAAGAGAGAGAGAGAAAGAAGGAAAAGAAATGGACACCTACATGGAACAGTTTATGTGATTATCTGTATGCCACCTACCACATAAGCTTCAACAAGGGCAAAGAGGCACACCAATCTGGACCATTTATATAATAAAAGAATCCAAACTACAAAAACTAATCAGATTGAACCAAATTCATGAGGAAAAACTAAGAGACTCAGGCCAGGTCTTCTAAAATTGGCGGTGGGGGGAATGCCTAAAGCAGCACTTTTTTGGCTAGGTACATTTTAACGTCAAAAAGAAGAAGAGGATGTTTTTTACATAGTCCTGTGACACTTTCAAATGCAGGATAATTAAGAGTTCAAAACTTTACAAAGGAAACACTGAATAATTTTAAAGGCATCTTTATTTTCACTGTGTGTGAAAGAAATGGCTTTTCCTGCATTGCATATTAAGAAACAGATTCACAGCAAAACTTGTGTGTGGGGGCAATATAAAATAATTCAGAAACGTTCAGTTTTAAGAAGTGGCTTTATAACTCCCACTACTTTGGGTGAGTTTTTCGACTTCTTAGTGTTTTCTCATTTATGCCTAATAACTTTTCAGATATCTTATGGACAATATGACCTTTCCGAATAGGATTCTGGGGCATGTTGGGTAGGATTATTCCATGGTGGGGAGATGATTTAATCACCAGCATTAAACAAAACCCAAGCATTTATGAACTGAGTAAAACTACTGTGGCTTGGTCTTAGTCCCTGAACAGGAGCCCAAACCTCAGGTTCTCTAAAACCTTTGCTGCTGAAGTCAACTATAAATGAAAATAGAAACAAAGATGCAGTTCAAAAAGCATGGCTGCACTCACCTATCACGATGAGTTCATTGTGATGGAGGTTCATTTATTCGACAAATATTTTGGGGTGACAGGCACTATTTCAGACACTGGGTATGCAACAGCGAACAAAACAAAGTTCCTACCCTTATGGAGCTGCAATTCTAGTGTCAACTATAATATTCTCACAGTGAATGCCCTCACAGTGTGACTTCTTCCCTTTACTTACTAGGACCATGCTTTGAAAAAGATAAAAGAAACAGTAAATATAAAACTGAGTCAGTGTGCTGGCTCAGTGAGATCTCCAAACAAGATGATTAAAAAAAACCCACACAACAAAAAAACGCTATGAGTCTTTTCTACCTCTTATGGAAACACTAAGTGAAGTCTGTGAGTTTTCAGGGATCCAGATGCAAATTCATGATCAGTATATGGCATTCCTCTGCCAGCTGCAGGGCACAGATAAGCAGCTAAAATATTATCATTTCCTAAGCAAAAAACAACCATCTTCTCCTTGAAAAACAAAAATCCAGCAAGTTGTCAAAACCCATCAGCTGAACTCCATGTTATAATTATATTTCTGTATCAAAGAGTGTTTCACTGGTAATAAGTCTCTCGAACCAGCAAAACTTAATGGTCACTACAACAAGTAAAAACTGTTT